AAAAAAATTTGATTGGATTAAGCAATTTTTTGCTGAAATATGGAATGAGCCAGAAATTCCGGCTTAAGTTGGTAGAATTCTGTTCAAGTTAACACAAGATCTGATTTTGATGGTTCAGCTATAAGTATAACATTGCAATCAGTAAAAATGATAATCTTGAAACTCGTCCCACTTTCTAAAGTACGATCAGTGGATTCTCCACTGCAATACTATATTTGTAACGGTTCACTTGTAAGTATAACACTTTAATCAGAAAATTTTCGCTGAAAGGATCAGTTAATATCAATAGCGACTATTCTTATTATTGCATGCACTTTACTAATATAAACAGTGTCATTGTGCAAAGAAGCCGTTGATCCCTTCGTCGCAAACGCAGAAAGTTGGATTTGGTATAACGTATAACAAATTTGTATAAACAAGAAAAATGTAATCATACTTAACAAAATCCTAGATAATTTATTATACATGGCTTCAAGAGAATTCTCCTCAAATAAAAAAAATTTTTTTTTAAGCACAGTATTCTTAAAATATTCTAAGCGTAATATTTTTAACAATATTCACATAAAATTAGAGAAGTCTCATCTGTTATCTACAGTACATGTCTTATTCTTAATAGAAAATTTTTTTTAAACAGGAGGATATCCTGCTTTAAATAAGCATATTCCTTTTGATTCTTAAGAGGAAAAAACTTAGAATATCTAGTAGATTTCCGATTAATAGTCCGCACTTCATTAGAAGAAGAATATTCTTTCGGTAAAAGTTGTCTTAGAACATGTGAGATTATAAGAAGTAGCATTATTTCAACTAGAATTCTTTTTTATGGAGTGTATATTACAAATTTTAGAGTCCTACTTCCAATCATTGAAAGATAAGACAGAGCTAAGTGAGAGTATTTACATTGAAAATCAGTACGTACACTCACTGATCATAGGTAAATGTGCTTTTTACGGATTTATCTATAAAAATATAATCTCATCCTTAGCGAAATTCTCTTATGTTATGACTTTGAAATCGATATTCCAAGGAAAATAACTTTAGTTGGAAGATGCTATTTCCTATAACCCCATATTCTAAGGGCTAACCTCTTATTGAAAAAGTATTCCTCTTTTAGATAAAAAAAATAATAATATTGGGCTCAAAAGATTTTTCTTTTAGTTTTAAAAGAATCCTCTTGAGGTCACATATAAAAGAATTCTGCTAAGAATGAAATTATAATTTTTGGGACGTTTTTGCTGATTCGATTTAAGAGAGCACGTGAGATACTCGAATATATAATTGGGGTTAGACTTGAATATTTTATTTCAATCATATCACGTATGCGAGATTGCATTCAGGTGAGAAACTCACATTTAATTCAAGTATCTCATTTGAGGCAAGTTTCAAGTAACGAATATTGATACGAATCTTATGGTTTTTCGGGGTGATTTTTAACCGGCCCGCGAAACCGACGTGTAGAGCGAGCAAATTAATCGCACTTGATTAATCAACGGCGCGGCGCAATATCCGCGAGTTAGATATGCTTAACGCTCGGAAAAAATCGCAATGAAAAAATCGCGAGCGAATCACGGATACCGCGACGGCGCGATTATCGTGCCGCGTTGCTGAAATTTTTTCCACTCGCAAACGCGAATACGGCGCTAAAAATGTACGGGAGATACCTGCTAGCATATAAACTCGCACATATTAATCGATCATTCCCAAACACGTCGGTTAATCGCCGTTCGGAATCTCCGGAGAGAAAGCGAGACGGACTGAGAGAGAAACGGATCCTGTTGGTAATTCGATGAAAAAGAAAACATATTTTGAAACGAATCAACAAAAATGTCTCTCATTGAATAAATAAAAGGTAAAGCCATCTTAGTGCTTCATCTTATATCTCACTGATTTTGTTCAGTAGAAAAAATACGATTACACCGTGAAATATACACTAATTCACAACACAAATACACTACCAATTCGTTATACGCTGAGAAAGAAATATTTAAAAATTTATTTGTAAAATTTACTTCTGCAAAATTGAGATTATTTCTGTGAAATAAAGTTCATCTATTCGCAGATGATAAACTTTCGTCTCGCAAGTAAATTTTCAAGTAATTTTTTCTCTGTGCGCGCTGTGTCAAATCCAACTTTCTGCGATGGACAACTTTGTGGCGATAGAATCACCAGTTTCCGCGCGATCTTCGTGCAATGACACTGTTTGTGTTTGCAAACTGTACAAATAACAGGGACCTACCATCAACTGATTCTTTCAGCGAGATTTTACCGATATCGCAGCGCTATACTTTTCACTGCATCTTCAGTTATGAGTATAGCATTTCAATGAAGAATACTCCCTAAATTTCTTGGAGTGTAAAGAAGCATTTTCACTCGAGACAATAGAGAAAATTACTGTCATTCGAAACCAAAGACTGAATGTTTCGCTCATTATTAGAATAGATTCTGACTCCGTATGAGCGGGTGTTTCCATTGATTGAAGTAAATACATTTAGGTTAGTACTATAGCAATGCACTTGAATTCGAGTGGTTCGGCTATCATTTTACTTTGCAAGTGAAATTTTATTCCAAAAAATTTAGAGAGTACACTGATTGCGCTTTGGAGAGATTGATTTAATAGAGATACATAGGCCAATAGAGAGAAAGAGAGAGAGAAGAAATCCCCGCACTCTGGTGTCGAGCTCTCGTCCGTAAGATCGACCCTGACCCCCGCTTTTATTTTTTTTATAGACCACCGTGTGGCGCGACACAAAAGGTTTGTCGGTTATCACTACTGACCGTAAAATCCTGATCACGTCGATTACCGTTCGTGACCTGCAGTCGAATGGCTGGAATGTCACTCCGTCAGTCAATTGTGTCGATATAGGAAAAAAAGCATCGACAACAAGCGAGACAACAAGCGAAAAGGATGGAAAACGAGGGATATCACCGCAGGAGCGTATCAAGCGCGGACGTGTTGTGAGAGACGAGTCCGCGGCGAGACGTCGTCTCCGTCGCGTCCGACTAATAAAATCGACCGGTCGCTGCGCGACCGTTCCGCGCTGCTGTTTAACGGACAGGCGAACAAAAACGCTCGGCGACTCATAAATTCGACACTCCGGTACTCCGCGGCGCCCCTAAATCCCGGCGATTTGTATTCCATTTTTCGGCGGTAACGGAACGGTATTATTTGTGGAGTGTCGCGCGCGCGATCAACGAGGCACTTTTTATTGCGCACTCGCGTGATATATACAGAAAGGTGTCACAGTAATTTAACGCGCGATATTGTATGTATGTGTGTGTGTGTGTGTGTATTTCGCCTTTTCTTCTCTTCTTCATAAGGAAGGCATTCCGTGGCACGCATTTATTACAGACTAATTAGTTGAAATGAACGCGAACACCGATCGACTGTCGGCTGAGTCGCATTACGATGATGTAAACCGAAATGTAGCCCGACGCGTTAGTCGAGAAGGATTCATGTCACGCGTGCCTGAACGACGAACAGAACGGAGTTAACGGCGAATGCGCGAGACTGAGAGAACATATACTCGAGAAAATTGTTTAGCAGTCACAGTAAAAATTAGCTATGCGTGCATAATGGAAAACAAATTTCTGATATTTGTAACTGTAATCACATGGAGCAATAATTGCTATAAATCACTAATTTAAACCATCCGCCCGGGCCCCTTGCATCTAGAACTCTTAAATTTAAATTATCACAAAGAATCAACGTTAGTTAGATTAATCATTTTTCTCTTAATTTACGAGAAATTAGTTAAGATGGACGAGTGACTAGCAAACACTGCGCTATTGCATATTTTGTACTTAATCAATAGAAGTAACAAAATTTCGAAAATATACTTGGAAAAAAGTCCCTTTCTGTGCCCGTCCAAATTAGAAGGCCATATTAATCCTTTATATGGCAACGATGTTCTTTCGACCAACATCCATTTCTCATGAGCCACATGCAAGAACGTTAGCTGCATAATGCATTTATTTAGCGCTGTTGTTCTGGAGCAACATTTGGTTATCTGTTCTATTCGTTCCATTTCTGTCATTGAACGACAAAAAGCGTTGAAAGCATGTTTTCAAAACGATATTTTGGAAACAATAACTGCATTCAGCAGATATCATTTATTTCATTTAAACATACAGCAATTTATTTTCTTAAATTGTTTCGGCTCTATGAAATGAAGAGTTAAAAATCGGGTTAACGGAACTTAAATTTGCCTGCTGCAAATATTGCTGGAATGCTGTAACTTTTACGTGCCACGCACAATCTTCCAGCAGGAAACAGTGATCAATTTTAACTGACATTTAGAATTCTACTTTGACTGCCAAAACATTTTTTTTATTTCAATGAGCAGTCTCCTTTTTCCATCTCTCTCCCTCCCTCTGTCTTTCGTAACTTCTCGGCGAGGAAAAGCCCCATGTCTACCTTCATTGCGAGATCTGATCCCTGCGCGCTAAATCTCCCCGCGAACTTGGTGGAAAACATAATTGGAAGGAGGACGAGCCTAAGCACGTGTCCTTGTCCTTCGACTCCGAGCTGCTGCTGGAGGACTATTACCGGCAGGTCGATAATCCAATTTCGCGTGAAGAGCGAGACGATCGCGGAAGCCGTAAACGTACGTCGCCGGAAATTCGTACGCGGAAGAGAACGAGAAAGGGGATTTCCCAGGCCTCCTCCCGCCGCCGTCGCCTTCCTGCATTCTCGCATCGCGCATCTCACGCGTGCTCCTTTTCTGCCTCTTGCGAGTATCGTCTCGCCGAAGAGAGAGTCCTCGGCGCGACAAGTGCTCCGGCATGTGAGTCCCTTTCTCTCCTCACAACTTACAAACGGAAGCAACTTGCCTGCTCCTCATCTCCTCGTCGTCGTATAAAAATCAAACCGACTTCCCCCGCGACGAAAGAAACCCACAAAAAAACTTTCACGCACTTCGCAGCCGTTATCGCGCGGAAAGATTTGAGAGAAATGGCGTGGTGTGAAATTACGATCTAGCTATGTGGCTTCGAGAAATATTTACCTGCTGGCTCGTTCTGACTCCCGCCGCCCTTTAATTAACAGGCTTCGGTCCTCGCAGCCACTCTGTCGTCCACGAGAGCGTTCGGCCCGCTCTCTCTCTCTCGCTCTGCTCAAGGCCAAAGATCGTGGATTCCGATCGACAACGAGGGGGCTGCTGCTGCGAGATTTTACGGGAAGCACGGATCCCGATCGATGACACGGTGGACGACGTAGGGGATCCCTCGCGGCGGTTGGCGTCCACGCCGGACTAATGTCCGCTCTTACTACTTAGCACGAGGCGCGCTTAAGTAGGTTCGCATCACTGCACGAGGCCCTCGCCGCGGCAACGCATTTTTTCCAGCCGGCGATACAATGCAGGTCGCTGCGAAACGATAGCTATCGCGCGCGACTATCGATCCCACGCTTGTAGAGCTCGCGAGAAACTCGCTCGCTCGCGCGACTACCGCGTCGTATTCTTCGCGACTCGTGCAGATGACGATACGTCGCTCACTCACTCACTCACTGACTGACTTACTGACTCACACACTCTCACTGGGTGCAACGTGCGGCCCGCGGATACGCCGCTGTCATGTGCGCTCCGACACGCACTTGTCGCGCCGACCGGAAGGATTCTCTGCCGGCGAGTCCTTGGTTAAGCCGCCCGAGCCGATATATTCCCCGGCGACCACTCTTCACCGATACGATATTCAGTGGAGTCCGACGTGGACAGCGTCACGCGATGCCTCGTCGCGAATACTCATGTGTCAGTCACTAATGTGTTTCCGCGGCCGACGCGTCTTGGAGTCGCCGGGGTCAGGACTCGCCAGACTGTCGCACACTCTCTCTCGATGGGCCTCGCTGGGTCTTCTCTCACTTCATATGGCCGAGTCCTCGACGCGCGCCGATTTTCACGGCTCGACACGGAGCTCGGCGGACTCCTCGTGGCAGAGCGTTGACCTTCGCTCCGAGAACCGTTCGCGACTCTTCGTGCGAGGGAAACCCGCGCGTGACACACTGAACGCCTTTCGCCGGCTATCACCGGCGCGAGCAATCGAGCGGCTCTCGCGGAAACGTTTACGTCCAGTATCGATATTCGATCGGCTACGTCCACCGGCCGGGTTCTCGGGACTGTTTTCGAGTGCCGCCCGACGAGCGAAACATCACCGCGCGCGCACTGCACCACTTAACACTTCCCCGAAGCACTACGCACCCGCGCGCGAGTTCTCCAAGTCAGGTCGTCCGACGGCGCGAGGACCCTCACATCGTGTGCACTCACGTCGCGCGAGGAGCATCCTTTCCCTCGCGTCTTGCCGATCCGCGGCAAGATCCGGTCTCCCCCACGGTGCCCAGCATTCCACTCCACGGGGTGGACGGTGAGACTGCGTTTCCTCGAGAGATGTCCCGGTGCGTGCGTGCGTGCGAGCGAGCGAGCGACGATGACGACGGTGCGATCGCGAGCGGCGAGGATCGAAAGGACGAGTCGGACAGCGATCCGTCCTCGGCACGCCGGGGAACGTGCGAGTCGCGGGTACACCGGATACACGAAGGGCGGACGACGACGACGACGACGACGACGACGACGACGACGACGACGCGAGAAAGAGAGAGAGAGAGTTCGCGTCAGCGGACGCGAAGGCACGGCACGCGAGTTCGCCGGCCGACTGAAGCACGGTTCGACTGTCAGTCGACCCCACACCCGAAACTCGACTCGTCTTCGTCGAACGAGTCCGCCGTCTCCGTCGGCTCCCCCTTGGGGACAGGGGATGGTTCGGGGATGCAGAGGGTGGGACGACGGCGAGCCGCGCGCCTGCGCCAGGTGAATCGGCCGAGGAGAGCATTCGTTGCACTCCGGCTACCTGCCACTCCGCTGCTACTCCCGTTCGTGCACGGCGCGATATGCGCCGCGAAAGAATTGATATCGAGAGAGAGAGAGAGAAAGAGAGAGAGAGAGAGAGAGAGAGAGAGAGAGGATGAAGGAGAAAAGGAGAGAGAAAGAAGGGCACACGGAGTGTCGATGAATCAATTTATACGAGTGGATAATGTTTCTTGTGTAATCGAAAAATGGTCGGACGCGGTCTATGACATTCGCCAGTTCGATCGATATTGTTAATACTTGTTAATATTGCAGCGCATGTTGCACATAGCAGGGAGTAGGTGGACGTGCGCGTTCGCCGTGTGCGCGAGAGAGTTGACAGCGAGACAATGTGGGCGAATTAATTTCGCGAGTGGATGGGGGACGATCTCCTCTTTAAACGGAGCATTTCCACGGCCACGATAGCGAGTTGCTACCTACGATCGATATCGTTAACATTCGTTAGCTGTGCACCGTGCATCGCGAGACTCGGTTTGAGCGCGACGCGCGTGAGATAATTGATACCGCGGCAGTGTCGGCGGATTAATTTACGAGTGAGTAGGTATCTCTTTAAATCGAAGAGTTATCGCGGCGCGAACGTAATGGTGTGTATTCTTGTGCCAATATTGCTAACGGTTATCAAGTATCACGCGTGTCGCAAAGCTCCATGCAAGTGTGACGCGCGTTAGTTGGCTGATACCGAGACAGTGTTAACGAATTAATTTACGAGTTGATGATACCCCTTTAATCAGAGAATTATCGCAGCAATTGTATTCATTCTTTTGACAGTAGTACTAATAGTTATCAAGTATCATATGTATTGCAGAGTTTGATGCAAGCACGATGCGCGTTACGATGTTAATAGACAATGTTTATGAATTAATTTAAGAATAGAGATGATATTTTTATAACTCAACAATTATTACAGCAATTACGTTTACTCTTTTCACATCACTAATAATCATCAAGTATCACGCAAATTTGCAAAACATGGTGCAAGCGCGACACACTTTAATAGATTGATATCAAGACGTATTAATTTACGAGTTGATAATATCTCTTTTAATCAAAAAATTATTATATCGATTACGTTTGTTCTTTTGGCAGTATTACTAATACTCATGCAGTATTACTAATACTAGTTGTCAAATGTCATATATATTACAGAGCTTAATGCAAGTACGATGTTAACGAATTAATTTAAAAGATGATATTTTTACAATCAAAAATTATCCCAGCAATTACGTTTATTCTTTTGGCAATAGTAGTCTTTTGCTACTAGTTATGAAGTATCACGCGTGTTGCAAAGCTCGATGCAAGTGACGCGCGTTATCAGGTTGATGCCGAGAAGATATCAACAAATTAATGTACGAGTTAATGATATATCCTCAATCAAAGAATTATTACAGCAATGACGTTAAATTTTTGTTGTCAATATTACTAAATTACCAAATATTGTACATATTGGAAAATTCGATACGAGCGTGACGCGCGTAAAATAAAAGATTTACTTGCCACTACTTTGCTTTACTTTCTCAGTAGTATATTTATTTAATCACTAAATAAAACAAAATAACGGCAATTAAATCTGATTGCAATTACCAAACATTTGATTGGTCCTATTTTAACCAAATTTTGCTTTCGTCAACCAAATCCTTTTTTCAGTGTGCCAACGAAAACTATGAGTAGATATCTCTTGAATCAAAGAATTAGTGCATCTAATAAAGTGTATTCTTTCGCCAATATTGTTAACACTTATCCATCACTTCACACGTCGCGAAGCTCGATATGAATGCGATAGAAAGTTAGACACCTAAACATCGTCGTCGAGTTGATGTAGAAATGCATGGATCAGTCAAAAAATTATTGCAGCTAATAACATTTATTCTTATATTAATATTGTTAATTATCGACTTATCAATTAACGAGTGCATATTATGAAGATCCGAATACGAGAGCTAATGACGTTTATTCTTATATTAGTATTGCTAATTATCGACTTATCAATTAACATATGCACATTGTAAAGACCCGATTACGAGAGCTAATGACGTTTATTCTTATATTAGTATTGCTAATTATCGGCTAATCAATTAACGTATGCATATCGTGAAGACCCGAATACGAGAGCTAATGACGTTTATTCTTATATTAATATTGCTAATTATCGACTTATCAATTAACGTATGCATATCGTGAGGACCCAAATACGAGAGCTAATGACGGTTATTCTCATATTAATATTGCTAATTATCGACTTATCAATTAACGTGTGCATATCGTGAAGATTCGAATATGAGCACAATGTGAGTATAAAAGACAGATACGCAAGCGATGTCGGCGAAAATTAATTTAAAATAAATTACCGATATCTCCTTAATCGAAGAATCGTCGTAGCCGAGGTTTGTTTTCATCGATCAATACTTAATACTTGTAGTATGTGCCGCGTAGTTCGATAAGAGAGTGGAGCTCTTTAAACGATTAACAGCGCGTCGATGTATTAATTAGTAATTGAATAACGTCTCCTTAATCAAACTTATACTCTTACGCTAAATAAAACTCGTTTCCCATATAGCACTGTTCATTCTTGTTCGTTCTCATTCACTATTATTATTATATAGATAATGCGTTTAGACAATCATATAATGACCTGATTTCCAAATGGAGAACCGACATTGCATTTCTCTTATACTTATGCATTTTAAATGACGCTGCTTTGCTATACGCGAAAAGTTTCAGGATATTTTCGACCAATTTTCGAGCGCTAGTAAATCGCGTTAGGTAATCAGATCGGCTTATATTAGCGGATATATTAGCGTAATGTAATTTCAAATAACGGAAAAGTGTATCTAATAATTCTAGTCGCGAGGCAAATACAGGAAACTTATAGTGAATTTAGAGGAAATAGCGAGTCGCAATTAAACACACAAACATGATTACTGTCTATTTTTACTGTAACTGATTTTACGCTGTGAGAAAGAAGAAGAGAAGAGGAAATGAAAAACGGCCTTACTTCAATATAGAAACATCGTATAATAACCGCTACATCACAAAATGATCCAATCGGTTAAATAATTGCTCTCCAAAGTACAAATTGATATTCTTCACTGAAATATTATATTCTGACTAACTGATGGTTCAGTTATAAGTGTAGCGTTGCAATCAATGAGAAAATCTCACTGATAGAATCAGTTAATAGTAACGACTTCCTATTATTGATGCACTTTGCGAACACACAGATGACACACAGTGTCATTGCAGACACGGAAGCCGTTGTTGCAAGCGCAGAAGGTTGGATAATGTGTGACAAATTTGTTTATCAATTAAGTTTTGCAGCAGAAACCTGCTCATACTGGTGAAAATCAATGAGAAATAAGACGAAGCAGCAAAGTGGAAGTGTTTTTACGGAAAAACGGTGAATATTTGCTGATCGTCGGTGAAATAGTACCTTTGCTGATTCAATCGGAAGCATTTTTACTGATTCACTTTAAGAGAGTGGAGTGTTGGTTCCAATGTTGCCGTAGACCGTCCCGTCTGTCACTATTTACGCGCGAACTCGCAAATCCCATTACAACAAGCAACGTTGGAAAAAGCACAAATTTTCACTTGCTCGATATTCAATTGCGTTGTCGATCAACGTCTATATAACGCAATTTCAAGACAACGAGCCTCACTTTGAATGCTCGATGGGAACTGCGTTCCGTCCTAATGAGACTTTACCGTTCATAGAAAGTCCCGTGCATATCGAGAAAAAAAAACACTTGAAAATATATCTGTGGGATATAAGATTTATTTCTATGAAGCAAATTTTATTTCTGTAAAATAAAATTTCTTTTCTGCGAATAAATTTTATATCCCACAAGTAAATTTCGAAGTACTTTCTTTTCAGTGTAATCTGTATTTCTCGGATTCTTCGTGAAAATCATAACGTCGCGTGTTCACACAAGAGACATACAACAGATCCAGCAAAATACTGCATCCAAATAAATATTAATTGTTTCAAGTATTTCTGAAATACTAAAAAAAGGATTTGTTGTCGAAACGAAAATTTTGTACACCGAACTAAAATTTAATCAAAACTATTTTTTTGACTAATTTAACCATTTTTGACTAATTTAACACAGATTTAAAATATCGATTAGAATCTCGGCTAAAAAAACTTAGAATGGTTCGTGTCTCAGCTATGCCGATTTTGTTAAAATTATTTAACTATATCTTGTATTCAATTTTATTTCTTATGCATTTTTGTTGCACTTGATGATAGGAGTGAGAACATTAAAAAGCTATAAATTGCCCGTGAAACTCAAAGTGGGCCAAAATAAAAAATATGATCTAAATATTTTTTGTACTTCTACATTTGTATCAAATTAGAAAAAAATCGGAGTGTAACTTTTAGGTAGGTTTACTTGTTAGCAAAGTTAGCAAAGTAGATTTAACCCTAATGATACAATTTACTCCTACTTACTGCGATATCCAAAATTTCCCTTATCAAGTGTTGAATGGAATAGTCAGGCTGAAAGTAGGATCAAAATTTCGACTCGGATAATGAGCTTATTTTGAGACTGTTATCAAAAAAATATTCTTTTTCAAAATAAGTTATATTATAGACTTCAGGATATCAAAGATGCTGAATGGAATAATGAAGTTAAAAGTAGAATCAGAATTTCGACTCGGATAGATTAAATAGAATCAAAAGAGGTTGATGTAAGTTTTAAAATATAACAATAGGTGTTGAATGAAATAGTAAGGCTGAAAGTGGAAGCAAAATTTTGACTCGGGTAATTTATTTTGAGATTAGTATCGATGAAACATTCTTTTTGTTGAATGTAACGATTATTCAAAAGAAGGAGAGTAAACTGAATCATCGCTTTTCTTAGCAGCAGAATGGTATAACTTTCTGTGAGCAGTCGCGTTACCGATCGATAACGC